ACCATTTTTGTAGAGCAGTTAATTTCCTACAAAACTATGAATTGCGCATTTCATAATGATTTTTTGTTAACGAGTTATAAAATTCATAAGCAAAACAGAAATTTGTCTTAAAATAATCAAACTTCAACCTTTAATATCTTTTAAACGGTGAGGTTTACAAAAACATTGTAAGAGACCTTTTTTGTAGAGCGTTCAATTTCCTACAGGTATACGAGGAGAGATATTTTTAACGAACAGTTGATAGAGAGATATGAATTTTTTTTTCTAATACTGAGGAAAAAATGGAAAACTGTAAAGCGGAGGACCTTCCTAATAAAATTAAGAGCTCATATTTGGAGAGAATTTTCTAGAGGTGTCTAGCAACCTATTTTTCAGAGTATAAAGTAAAAAAAAAATTGTCGATTTTTTTTGACCCATCCTAACATAAATACATTTGCTCAACTATTTAACTTTTAAATTAAATTTTTATCATAATTTTGACAGTTCGACGCGTTTAATTAAACGGTTTTATCTTATAACGCTACAAAACTTATTCTATATTTAAATATATCCTTCATTTTAATCTATTATGTGTTGCACATCCCTTTTGTGTTCGTTTTCTGTATATTTTAAGTGAATATCTCTTAATTTAATTTAAAAAAATTACATTGTGGTCTCTTTTTTTGTATGTTTTAATTTATCATCTGAAAAAACATTTCATAACAATATGTATTAATGTAATAATAAATATGATTAATTTCATTATTTATATGATATACCACCAGTTACCATACATTTTTTTAAATTGTACTAGTGTACTATAAATCTTTATGGCATGAATTAATAAAAGTATTACTATGATAATTTCTCAAAATTCAACCAGATGCCCCCTTCCGCAGAGGAAAAAAGGGTTTTCACTGACAACCTCAGAGGCAGCATCGTCTTCTCGTTCAACTTAACTCTGAACTTTCTGAGAATGTAAATCAGGCCCAATTTCGCCTCTATCAGGCCCAGTCTTGCTCCTAAAATAATCAAGAGATAGATATTAGAATAAAACCACGTTTAATCCTTATGTATTAAAATCTGTAGCGTCCGAGAAATTTCCTCTTTAAAATGAGTCCTCGCCGAAAATCGAATTTTTCCAGTGCGAGAGAAATACCCGAAGTACATCCGAAGTTTAGACAGAGATGCAGACAAACGTCAGTGAGGATGTAAAAATACATTTTTTCTTCAAGCGTATAATAATACTTATATTATATAGTGCAACACCTCCTTTAGAAGCAGCCTATTGTTTAACTAGTACAAATATTTTTCATTTTTTAACTAGTAAAAAAATTTAACAATGTGTAGATAAGTATCCTAGCAACGAATTAAAGATTCAAGAAGCTTTGACGTTTCATTAAGTGTCAGTTGAAATTTGATGTCGCGTCGGGTCGTTTTTAAAATGTCTGAAGAAATGCAGTGCACACCACCAGAATTACTGGAAATTGCAAATACATCAGTGGCAACACTTATACCAACAAAGTCGAGAAAAATTTATGAAAATGCTTATGATAAATTCATAAATTGGGCAAAAGAAAATAATGCACATATTTATTCAGAAAATGTGATGATAGCATATTTTACAAGATTATCCAGAACACTGAAAAGTTCAACTTTATGGGCGCAATATTCAATGGTAAAATCTAAATTAAATATAATGTAAATATTGAGAAATATTCAAAATTAATTACATTTTTATCCACTGGCGGTGGATAAAAATTGACTTCATACTAAAAATGCAGTTCTTTGCCAACCTACAAAACTGCCAAATTTTAAGAACTTAACACTATTCCAAATTTATTTCAAATATTAATATATTTTTAACGTCAAGGTCACACCCAAGGTCACCGGCATACTGTTCACTTATTATCCTGAAACTTTCGCCTGAAACAATTGTTTTGGTAGGGCTCAAGGCTAGGGCTAGGGCTAAGTTATCGTGTGTAAAAGTTTTTTGGGACTGTCTGTATATGCGTATACAGGCTGTTACAAATTCGTTTTTCACTACATGGATCTCGAAAACGGTAAGAGATACGAACTAAAAAATCAAGGCTAACATGATTAGTTTTCGAAATATTTCAAAAAAACCGAAATTTTGAAAATCCGTTTTTGTTTCATTTCAGCCTTATATGAGGTGATATTGAAAAAAGAACACTTTCTTATAGCCACATTTTGCCCTCTATCGATTGGCATAATCAATTTTTATATTCATTCATTTTTTTAAATACAACCCTGGAAATTTTATTACATATTTTGCAAGCCTTCATGATCCCCAATACTGTACCCGAACCAGATTCAGACGTTTTGTCTCGAAAAATTCAGCTTCAGTGTATCCGTTCCAAATTTATCTAAATTTTTTATTTAGATGTCTTTGTTTATTGAATTATCGTATACTGTAAGTGTCGTTAAGCCCTGTGAAATCTATCTAGTTATTTAAACTATTACCACCACGCGTTACAATAAAATATGTATTATTAACTATTACGATCACTTGGTCATACATAACTCAATAAGTAGTTGCGTCAAAATTAAAACATTACAATTTTGATTTTATTATGACAAATTAATTCTTAAAAATGCACATGAACAACCAAAACGCCAACTGAATATTATTATTTAAAAAAT